GCTGTCATGGAGCAGCTAATCCCTTCTTTGATCAGTTTGGTGCTACCAGAAGATCAGGGACAGGTATTGAATGGCAGCATGTTGCTGCCAGCACCTGCTGTCGCAAGAAAAGTAGGTGATGAGGATAGAGAGGGTGAAAGCAGAGCTGTCCCGTGCGATAACGTCCTACTTCAGAAGTTGGTTACCCTTTGTGCTTGGTGGTTTTGTGTTGGCCTTTTCGCTTGCTCCCTTGACATCTGCTGACAGCTTGGCCAAAAATAATTGGGAACTCCCTCAAAGTCAAGAAAGGAGTTGAAAGATGCTCTGAATTCTTTGCACCCCGGGAGGAAGTGAGGTGGCTGCCTTTTTATGGGAGCGTTTAGCAAATCTTTTCGCTGCCTGAAATGGCCGAAATGTGTCTTAAATGAAGGTATGTGCTTACCTGTGTTCCGTGGTGCTTCCTGGTGTGTGCTTGCTGCCGGAATACTTAGGTTCATTAAAGGATGATCCACCTTGTCCCATCATATGGGGAGAAACCGTAATTCTGGGAAAAATCAGTGCTGTGTGCTGTTGGTGTCCCATAAGTTACAGATGTTGGGGCTCTTTTACCATAACCCGGCATCTCCAGGGGACATCACTTGGCCACAGCAGCATAAATACCTGGTTAACCACCTCAGTAATGGTTCAAAAAATTGGAAGGTAGGGTTTTTTTTTTTTTCAGTCTTGGTGTACCTGGGCACCCCGTAGCTGTCAGCTTCCCCTCTCCTTGAGCCATGGTACTGACAGGACACACCACTCTTGCTTTCTCTGGAACAAAAGAAAATCAAAGTTTGGGTGGGTGTCTCTATTTTCAGCTGGATTAAAGTCAGATGCTCAGCTCACTTGTCTCCTCACTGCCTGGTGAGGTCAGGTCTCACCATCCTGCTGCTGCTGGTGGTAAGTGGGAAGGGCAGGCAGAGTCGAGCCCACTGTCTGCGGCATCACAGCCCGTTTCCAGGCCTCGGGTCCGAACCTGTGCCTCTGTTGTTGGCAGAAGTGCCGGACGAGCGTGAATCACGCAGTGGTGAGGCCGTGGGAAGAAGCAGCACCTTCGCTGCGCAATCCGAGTGCTGTAGCACTGAAAGACGAGTGTAACCCAGGAGATACGCCAGTGTCAGATGAACGACGTGGATGATGTGGTGGCTCTGATCTTGAGTCTCTAATGGTGAAGAAAGTGTTTTTGGCAGAACATTGTTTTCTTAAAATGGACTCTCTCCTTTTACTATAGAATCATGGAATGATTTGGGTTGGAAGGGACCTTCAAGACCATCTAGTTCCAACCCCCTGCCATGGGCAGGGACACCCTCCACTACACCAGGTTGCTCAAAGCCTCATCCAACCTGGTCTTGAACACTTCCAGGGATGGAGCAGCCACAATTCTAATGGGCAACCTGTTCCAGTGCCTCGACACCCTTAGAGGGAAGAATTTCTTCCTTAGATCTAATGTAAATCTTCCCTCTCTCAGTTCAAAGCCATTGCCCCGTGTCCTGTCACTACATGCCCATGTCCAAAGCCCCTCTCCAGCTTTCTTGTAGCCCCTTTAGGTACTGGGAGGCTGCTGGAAGGTCTCCCTGGAGCCTTCTCTTCTCCAGGCTGAACAACCTCAACTCTCTCAGCCTGTCTTGATTAGTTTTCTTAAATAATGGCATCCTGCTGCTGTTTTGGGCTGTTCTACAGAGGATAACCAGGTTTATTTTGTTTATGGAGTTTCATATGAGTTGATGATATCTCAGGGTGGAGCTCCTGTTTTATTTTATTGGCAGAGCATAAGGTGGTTTGAAAAGCAAAGCCATCAAATACTAACCTCCATAGTGGTATGAATGGACTGTTTTAAATATAGTTTGTTCTTGCCCCTGGCTCTGGGTATAAAATAACTTTAAGATGACCTGAGAAAAGTAACTTAACTTCAGTCTTTCCTCGGCAGTCTTAGTTTCTCCACTCCTTGTGTAACTGTTCTGTCCTAGATGGTATCTTGACGCACTCCATGTAGATGATGCATACGTGGATGAAGTTGTCCTTGTTGCTGTCTGCAACAGCTAATCATTATTGAATTTTATTTGGTAATTTACACCTGCTAGTTAGGATCTTTAGTGTCTTCATCTGATGAGCATCTGGGATCTTTAGTGTCTTCATCTGATGAGCGTCTGGGTTTCAGGGGGAAGTTTACCAAGCAACTTGGCAAACTTTATGCATGTGTGTTAAAAGCATAAGCGTACACGATTCTTTCTGTTCCTGTTGTTTAGTGCTCACGCAGTAATGCCGCCTGCTCGCTGATCACCTACTGTTTCCTGTACAAGAGGGAGCTAAATTAATGCCTGTGCATAGCTGGAGAGCATTTTCTGGGACTTCTGGGCAGCACCCACCTGTGGTCACAAGCCAAGTGGAAAAATAGAAGGAAAGTAGACTTTGTGTCATCAGAGCTGTGACCTGCTTGATGGCGTTGAATTTATTTTCCTGGTTTGCAGGAGCAAAACGGGGGAGAGCCGTGCTCTGCTCTGTACACACCCCCGAAACACGGATCGATTGAAACGGGCAGGCAGGATGGAAACATCAGCCACACCTTTCCTTGCTGCTAGGGTTGGGGATTAAAATCTGGCTTTGAAAGCGTGACTAAAGCTGCATTGGCAATGTTCTGCAGCGGTGATGACGCAAAATAAATAGTAACGTCTCAGGTTTGGTGTGGGGGATGAGAGATGTGGTGAACTTCACAGCACCAGGAAGGGCGAAACGATCGAGCGAATCCGCGTGATAAAACGGTCCCATGTCTTGTGTTCTTTGTCGTTGCAGTACTTTACTGGCCTAGAGTGTGGACACAAGTTCTGTATGCAATGCTGGAGTGAATATTTAACTACCAAAATAATGGAGGAAGGCATGGGACAGGTAAAATGTCACCTCATCTACCTCGTGACTTATTTCTGGAAATTCTGTGTATTGGAGAGGAGGGAGAAAGAAAGGGGAGAATTCTTCCCCACTGAAATTTAAAAAAAAAACAAAGCAAAAAAACCTGCAAATAAACCCAAGCCCCAAGGCTTGGGGGCTGCAGTCTTTGCCACGGGTGAAGCTGAAGGGAACTACTTGGAGTTTAGTGCAGGCATCTTTGTTCCGGGTGGGAGGAATCGTGCTGTGCACGGTGGCACATCTGGGACGTGATGACAGAGCCAAGGTGCTGTTTTTGCTGAGGATTGTAGTGAAGTGTGTTGCCTTGGAATTCTTTGTGATGCAAAAAACAGGATAAACGCTGTTTCTTTTATGACCTTTTTGTTTTTTTTTCAGACCATTTCATGCCCTGCTCATGGCTGTGATATCTTAGTCGATGACAATACAGTTATGTAAGTATGATGAGTTGCTGCCTCTTGGCTTTCCTCTCTTTTTCCGTTTTGTTACTCATGTGCTATTCAAATGTCCTGGCTTATTAAAAAAAACTGCATAGAGGCTTCGAGGCGCCACAGAGATTGGTCCCGAACTGTTTATTTTGATACTGGTATGTCTCTTAACTTCTTGTTTAGGCCTGAAAAACCCATGCCACAGTACTTGGAGGAAGGACTCCTTGACCGATGTGGTCAGCGTGACAGCAGAATAAACACCAGGCAGTTCTTCCCAAACCCTGTTCAACTGCTTCGTGCGTTTTGTTTCCTTTGATTTACGTAGGAATTTAGGACTTCCTCCCTAGGTCAACCCACTGGTTCACCAAGTCCTATAGCTATAGTTACTATGTGAGTCAGAGGAAAGATGTCCTATGTAGGGTGTGTTCTGTACCCTCTGATAGAAAGCAGTTGACCCTCAAACATAAGATTGGATTAAGCTGGGTACGTCAGCCTGTGTCACTTGGCTTATTAAGTTGTCCAGCTGTAGGATGACTGCTCTGTGGTGGTGCAGTGAATTCCGTGAGCTTCCTTGTCTTTTGTATTGGGTGATGTTGCTGCGTGAGTAACATCCTTCACAATTCCGAACCTTGATTAAGTTCATTTTAATTCTTCTTGCTAAAAAGCGTCTAAATAGAAGCTTATTCTGTTACCTTTTTCCTTCCTTCCTGAAGTCTGACTCACTCATTGATATTAATTTGCTGGTTTTTCTATCAGTGGCTTTCAGACTAATGATTTTCCCCATCCCTCTGCATTCGTGGCTCTATATTAGTCATGAAGTGTAGGCTGGAGAGGAGTGGAAATCGCTGAAATGTTTTCGTGCCCTGTTGAAGGGTGGCTTGTAGAGTTCAGTGGGTGGAAACCGAACTCGAGTTGGCATAATATCTTGGAGCGAGTTGGTCGAGATTTTTGTTTTCTGGAGTCTGAACTCAACTTGTGGTGTCGTACACCCTTCAGCAGGCAATTTCTTGAGTGTTTTCTTGATTGCAGTGGTTCGAATGAGCTGTTCAAATAGTGCAGTAACGCAGACTGGCTGAAATCCGTGGAGAGCGTGACGGCGGCAGGAGCAAGGAAAGGACAGCAGAAGAGGAGAGCAGCGCTGGCTTTTGTTGCTATGGCTTCTGTTGCTATTGCTTGATGTTAGCAGTAGGTCTGACTATCCTTATTTTTCACTTCATAGCTTTTAAAGCACAGAAAACCGTGACACTGGGGTGAATCTGTGCAATCTTCAGCTCACACCATGCGCTGTAGGGTTTCCCCCCCACCTAGAAATGGCAGAGAGATCTGGAGCCTGCGATAGTAAAATGGCATCTGGGTGGTAAAGCAAACAAGTTGTCTTTGTCTAAGTAAAACTAGGAATGTTTTGTGGAGGTAAGCCTCCCCTTTCCCTGATCTTACTGGGGACACCTGGAATGTCGTGTGGGAAGGAGGTGCGTTTTTTCATGGAAGCCTAATGCTTTCCTTTAAAAGCAAAGATGGACAACTGCGACAATCTTATGACATGGCATGAATAAAAATCTAAGTGATTCCAACTGGAATCTGCACCACCTCTCATCTCCTTAATTACTCTCTTTTTAGGTCTTTTCCTTTTTTACAAAGTCTCCAGCTCAAGATTTTCACGCTGTAGCAACCTAAGATTAATGTGCAAGGTATAGAGACATCAGTTTCTTTCATCCATCAGAAAATCAGAGTAGATAGGCCAAGTTATTAATTTTCTCTCTTCTCAGTACTTGCCCTAACAAGGCACTATATCTCCAACTTGAATTGCCTGCATATGAGTCCAAACTTAACCATTCAGATGACTTTGCTGGATTTGTGAGTCTTTAGCTAGCTTATTGTCCGTTTTCCTTGTTGCTGTTGAGCTTAAGTAGGAAGGTTGGACCCTCTGGTCCCTTTTAGCTCTTTCAAGACCTTCAAACTGGTGGAAGGTAATCTGTTTCTGTCCCGTGTCCACCCTTGCTCATGCTGCTGGTAATTGTTTTAACCTCCGTGCGAAGACATTGATTTCATTAATAAGCAAGGCAAGCTGCCTTTATTACTGGTGTGTCTACTGGCCGCTGCTCCTGGGTGGCAGCAGTCTGGTAGTAACTTCGGAGAATCAGCCCACTCGGAGGGAATGGATGGATTTCGGGTTCCCGTATGGAAGTCATAAGGAGCGCTGCCTCATTTTTAATTTTCCTTTGTGCAATTGGCAATACCAACGCTTCGGCGTCAGAGCAGAACGTAGTAAGGTCTTGAAGTAATTCCTTTGGGAGGGTTTTATGACATCTCCCATGATGTGCACTTTGCTGATTCCACTGATTGATGTCTTTGAGGAGTTTGCTTTATCAAAATGGAACAAAAGTGCAAAACTTCAGATCTGATAAAGGATTGCTGCCGGTTCTGGATGAATTTTTGAGATTGCGTCATTCAGAACTGAGCTGCCAGAAAGAGATCAAGGGTTGAGTTGGTTTTGGAAGCAGTTTCCTTTTCTAACCTGGCTTCTTCAGTGCAGTTGCTTCTTTACAGCTTGGCTTACAGAGAAGTGAACCCCAAAGGATGGTTCATGGGCACTGGGAATGGTTTTCACCTCTTAATTTGTCTAGTTTCGTTTAATTATATATCAAAAGCCAATAGTTTTTAGGGCAAAGTTCTGGAAGGTCTTGACCTGAGTGTTGCTGTGGAAGCGCTGCTGAATGTAGAGCAGGTGAGGTTGCTAACATGGAGTGACCATAGGCAGTTTGGTGAGCAAAAACAGCGGGTTGGGTACTCCGTGTGCTCTTGTTAGTTTTGGCATTACTCTTCATTTAAATTCTAGTTCCTGATATATACATATAATACAATAAAATTTTCAAGTGACATTTTTTTATGCCTAGAAGCTTGGGTGTGGAGTACCAAAATGCAATGTATAATTCATATTATAAGTTCAGATTATTTTTTTTTCCCCTTCTTCAATAAGTTTCACTCCAAAATTGCAGGCTTGCCGTGGACATGGGCCTGATGAGATGCTTTGTCAGCTGATTTGTTTTATTTTAGCACTGGGAATTTGGCTGCCACGTGCTGTGTTTATGTAATAACCAGCACGTTGTTTGGTGAGGAGCTCCCCAGACTGCTAAGGGGTAGGATTTACGCAACATCGCATCGTCACACGCGCTATTCTTTAATGAATGTTGGCGTGATAACCTGCAGGAGTACACTTGATTTTTTTTTTTTTTGTTTTAGCTGCACCCTGAAATGGATAATCTATTAATTTTAATATTTAAACATGATATGGCCTGTATAAAGCTGTTTTCCACAGTATGATTTAAACCAGAAATACCTCAAAGCGCGTATTAGTCCAGCTTTATATTTATATATGTGCAGAAGACACTTCAGTCATAACAGAAAGACATATATAAAAGTGCTCAGCAATAAATAACTAAATTATTTTGAATGTATCCAGGCTGGACAATCTGCAAATGCCAGCTGGGTTGGTGTTTCCAGGAGAAAAGTGCTTTTACAGGATTCCTATCGCTGTAGTTTTTGCTCTCTCGCTTCCGAGCTGACTGTAAAGTTGATGTTACGTACACTCTCTGGGATGCTGAATTTAAATCAACTTTGTTTTTATGGTAAATAGATTAAAACCACATAAACCTTTAGACTGAAGCTGTAGCATTCCACTGAAACCCAGATAACGTTAGGTCTGCCAAAGGTGTTAACCGTACAACAGTTGTTCTGGAGCTTTTTGAAGGGATTTGCCACGAAATGCACGTGTTGAATGTAAGTGAACTCATGAAATTGTTTGCTTTGGTTCTTGGGCTCTTCAGGAAAGTATTTTAAAATAAAAATCCCCACGCCAAGAGGTTCAGTTATTTTGAACTGCATGAGCTTTCTGTGTGATTCTAGAGCTAATAGTAGTAGTTGAATACAATATTTGTAGTTTTCATAATAGTATAAACAAATAGACAACAGAGAAGTACAAAAAAGTACCTGCAAGCGTAGGAGGAATCAAACCCATTTATCTGTCTTAGTTACTGGTTATGTATGGAAAATATGAGTTTACTACTACAATAATTTTTCTGTGTTTCTTCCCTTTCCACAGGCGTCTGATCACAGATTCCAAGGTTAAATTAAAGTACCAGCATTTAATAACCAATAGTTTTGTAGAGGTGAGTTGTTTTATTTGAAGTTTTTAATGGCTTTTAGGTTTTTTCTTTTTTCTGGTGTGTAGCAAACCAGAGAAGTGAGGCTTGTTTATAACTGTAGAGCAGATTTTTTTTTTTTACATAGTCTCTCATCAAGTGTGACTCCAAGGTAGAGGCTGTGCAGGGGTTATTCTATAGCCCATTTAGTTACAGGTATAATTGTAGGAAAATATTAAAATATCTGCAGGATGAAAGACCTGGAGATATAGCAAGGAGCTGCAGATAAGGAGAACACAGAAGCTGTTCAATATATAAGTTCTGAGGAGCACTTAATATTTATAGTTCTGGAATGTTTCCTCAGATACTTTAGACCGAAACCCAGGAATTATTATTATAAACAAGAGCATGCCTTAAACATTTCCCATTTGAAGTAAAGCTGCAAAATGGCTTTCAGCAAAATACTAGTAGCTTTGCAACCTCAAAATCAAAGTAAATTTAGAGGAAGGTGCTTTGGAAGATTCTCCACCGTCCCAGTTTCGCAGTTGTATACGTTCAGATTCACTGTACAGCCCGGTATGTAAATTCTTACTGGGATCAAGCTTTCACTCCTTGTTTGAAGTGATGGATGCAGTGGTTTTTGGTTGTGTGTTTGTTTTTTTTTAATGCAACACTGGAGCTTAGCACATGTTGCAGACTGAAAAATCGGTGAAAGCGTAGCAGTACAGACACTGCTCCTGCAGTACAGCAGGAGCAGGCAATGAGATGGTGTTCAAGGGGTGTTAAAGTGGTGCTTGTAAAAAAAAAAAAAAAAAAAAAAAAAAAACAAACAAAAAACTAGTGAGTGTTTTCGGAAAGGCTGCTGCAGCAGTGGAACAGGCATGGGTAGTTGCAAACAAATTGACATGTTTTTTTCAGTGGAAAGCTTCATAGCTTCATATTCTTCAAGTATTTTCTCTGGGTGAGCTGGGAGGTCAGCAGAAGCGTTTACGCTCCTCATCGTTCCTTAGAGGCCATTTGACAGGGAAGAGGTGACGATCGTATTCCAGCTTTCCTTCAGTAGAAAGAAAGTAAAAGCTTAGATTGAGGAGACAGCACTCTTATTGCAGAGGACTGGTAAGACAGGAAGGAGGGATGTGACTGAAGATCATGGTTAAAAGGATGAAAAAGAGATGAAGGGCAGGTAGGATCCTTGTGTAGCATCCTTTTTCTATTATAGGTTCTTTTTTGCTTTATTTCATAGTGTAATCGACTGTTAAAATGGTGTCCTGCCCCAGATTGCCACCACGTCGTTAAAGTCCAATATCCTGATGCGAAACCCGTTCGCTGCAAATGTGGACGTCAGTTTTGGTAAGAATAATCAAGTCAAAGAAGTCGATGCTGCTTTTTACTTACCGCTTTGAAAGTCTGTTAGTATGTGTTCTGTAAGTCGTTATAATCGGGATGTGGTTTCGGTGGTGGGAGAAGTATGGGGAGGGGATGGGCTTCAAATGATAAGCCAGGATTAGGCACAGCTGGTTGCAGAGCCCATCACTACGTAGTTGTTGCTCTCTGTCTCTCGGTCCTCCTTTGACACAGAGAGAGATGTGGCTTTTGCTGAGAGACGGCCTTCAGCCGAGTGGTTTCATTTTAGGTGAGGTTCTCGACTGCAGGCACTGTAGAGAATCAAAATGTCTTGAGGTATATACTGCTCCGGAATGGCCGTGAGGGATTTGAGGGATTTTTTTTTTTGATACATATAATATTTCTTTAGGACTGACTTTGGTCTTTCAGCAGAACAACCAGAAGAAAGCTTACACGGTGTTAACCTAGTTAAGTAAATAAGGTAGATGATTATACTTTTACTTTTTTTCTCCTTTCTTTCCTTTACAGCTTTAACTGCGGTGAAAACTGGCATGATCCTGTTAAATGCAAGGTGAGCACGTCAAAGTTCCTTTCTAAACGCGTGACTTTGAAAAGTTTAAAGTCTGTTGATGTGCAAGACGTGTAGAAATGAAGCACAAGCTTTGCAGCTGTGCACATCAAGGAGCGTAGTAGTTCACCTGTTTAGATCGAGAAGAATCAGCGGAATCATACTGAATGCCTTTGGGATGCCTCAGAGTTGGACTTTGGGAAGGAACAGTGCCTCAGCCACATGGGGAAATGTCTGGAGGAGGAGGCTGTTGCAGTTGGGACCCTCTGAAGAGGAATTGAGGTGCTTCAGGAGTGAATGCTTCACTTGACAACAAGCATTCCTGTAGTAGGCATTGCTGTAGGTGCTCGGTGCTTCCGAAGGAATTCATTTGGTCCTGGGACCTGTTGTCATGCAGCGAGCTCCGGAACTGGGCTGGTTTTTCGTGAAGCTGTAATCGAGCCTGAGATCCCGTGGCCTGTGCAGAGCTCGTGGACAGCCAGGTTTCATGCCTTGGGGACAGAGCAGCCTGCGTTCCTTGTGATGAATGCAAAAAAATCTTCTTGGAGAGAGGGGAGGGAAACCTCTCCAAAGGTTTAACATGGCTTAGCTGCTCTTTCCAGACTAGATGTGGTCAGTTTGTTATCTGACAGGTGCAGGCAGTCTTTTGCTTTTCTTGCTTGTGTTCATTTGATAAAGCCATGTTCTTGGTAAGGCTTAAAAGGAAAAAAAAAAAGGGAAAAAGCGTGATGTGGACAGTCTGGGCATGAGTGAGCATTGCAAGCCTAAGAGAAGACTTGGCTTGATATAAAACTAGGCATCACAGAAGGTCCGGCTGCAGTTTTAGCAGATCACTGTTATAATGTCCTTAGTATTTGAGTCCCATAGGAATTTCATACTGATTGAACTTCAGAACTGCAAACTCATCACTGAAGGGTTTGTGCTGAGTGGTGGTTGCTTGTGGGATCGGGATGGTGCTGCAGGAAGTGTCTGCAACTAAATTCCTTACTGTTTGCACTGCTTTGCAGCACCATCCTCCCAGGTTCTATGTGCTTATGTGTTCCATAGCACTACCTTAATGTAAGCAGCTGTCCTGGGAACGTTTACAGTTCCTCTATTTAAATGTAACTCTTTTTTCTTTCTTCTAACAGTGGTTAAAGAAATGGATTAAGAAATGCGATGATGACAGTGAAACTTCTAACTGGATTGCGGCGAACACAAAGGTGAGGGTTTTTCTCCTGTTTTAGATAGACTTGGCAGATGAAAAGAAGAATGACAGCCTAATTCCCCTGTACTAGGATTGTTTTTTCTGTCGCGTGTCAGTAGTTAAGAGCAAGGCTTCAGACCTGCAGTACGCTGAAGTACTTGTTTGAAGAGCAAATAGGTGTTACTGCCTCGAATCGGGTTAAGTGGAGTTTGTTCTTCTAAGAAAGAGTTAATTGGAGACCCAAAGGAAGCTCAAGTTCTAAGTCTTTGGGCTCCTGTCTGGCACTGACGCCTTCTCTAAGCAAATCCGTGGCTCGCTCCGAGTGTGTGAAACATGTTAACACCACCCGTGGCTTGATTTGACTGTGATAATTTACATCTGCCTTTAAATCCCCTGGGTCGGCCTCTTGAGGAGTTGTTCATTTCCGCTGGGCAGGACTCCAGGCAGAGACTGGCAGAACAGCTGCTCAGATTTTATTATGTAAATGTCTTCGTTTCAGCTAGCCCAACTTTGCCCGAAACTCCAGCAGTCGTTCAGTTTGGGACAAATTAAAACAAAGGTTGGCAGAGTGGCAGGAAAACAAAAGCTGCGGGTGCCATGGAGGGGGTTAGGAGCAGACCTGGAGCTCGTGGCTGCGGAGCCAGGAGGGTGGAAGAAGGTGGGGAGGGTGTGAGGAAATGGCTGCTTTTGTTTTCTTAGCTCTGTTGTGTAACTGGTTGATGGTATTGTTTGCATCAGTGGCTTCTTTCTGGGGCTGGCTGTGGTGTTTTTCATTGAGCTGGAATGCTGTGTTACGGTGAAAGCAGAAACACCCATCACGCTGAAAAGTCGGGCTGGAATGGTGCAGACTCGGCTGCTTCGTCCTCTTTCGTGGGCTGAGACTTGTGTGGTCCCCGCTCGGAGACAGAACGTTGCTCAATAAAACCAACTTGGCTTTTTCTGCGGTGGATGTGTTAGCAGATGTGTCGTGGCTCAAGAAGTCAACCACGTGAGCTCAAAGTTCGCTTGATCTTCGGGTGTTGCCTTATTACGCTTGAAAAAGGGCAGCCAAGTAGCTGGAAGGGTCTGAGTGTAAACACATGCAAAGCAGCTTTTAGCCTTGGGTATCAAATATTTGGGACATCAGAACGGCCACAACCCTGTTTTGCCTGTGACAAAGCCCTCGGGAGCCAGATCAGGTGCTGCTGCTGCCCTTCAGGGGTGTGATACTGGTTGTGGCTGTAGGTCTGTTGGTCTTCAACCTGCCCCTACCTGGGTGTGTGCTGCTAAAGACCAGGATCTGAGCTCTCCTTGCTGGGTTTGGTTATGATCAAATGTTAAGCTTTCCCTTACTGGATTCTGTGCTCATAAAAAAACTGAAATGATATATGCATGTGTGTTAATGTAGACCAAACATGAGCAGTGTGCTGCTAAATGCTGACTACTGGAATTAGGAAGCTACACGTCTCTCTTTGAGACAGGAAGACGATGGTTTCTGCAGCTTGCTTGCCCAAAGACTTAAGCATAGACAGAAATATTGTAAAGGTGGTAATCCTTTGGTTTTTTTAAGCAGGATCTAGGCTTTGTCAGGTAGGAGCCATGCTAGTGGTTGGGCTGGTATTTAAAGCGTAGCTCAACCTGTCAGAAATAGTGTTGAATGGCTGGATGAAGAAGGTTTTTTTTGTGGGGAAACACCCATCCAGAGGACAGTGAAGAGGGGAAGTGAGTGTGGCCAAGCCATGCTGGCATCAGCCCAGCTTATCTGTTAGTTCCTGTAGTCTGGTGTCAGCAGCAGAAGAGCTGTTGTCCTTGGACATCTAAGCTGCTTCCTCTAATACCGTATGAGATGCTCCTACAGCAAGAAAATACTTTAGAGCCCAGGCTGTACAGCAGCAACAGGAAGAAAAATAACATCAGAGTAATTCCACCAGACATGTGAGCGAGCCAACTGTCCTGGAGTCGTATGGTATCCATATCAATTGAGTTAACAGAAGGACAATATTGCAATTCTTCTCCCGTCGTACTGACACGACATTCAGTTGAGGGGAAAGTTGGCAGGAAACGTAACCCGCCCCTCGTAACGATCTCTGGCTTCTTGTGGACAGCGAAGATGCGGAAGGTGGTAATTTCACACCGCTCTAACGATGAAGCGCGAGCAGTGCTGGCTGCTGGAACACATGCGATCGGAGCTTCGCAGCCTCTGGAGAACCGGATCGGCCCAGAGCTGCGGGGCTACCAACCACCACCTCCTCATGCCTGAATCGGCTGTTGGCCCTTGGCCAAAGCCATGGAGAAAGCCAAGTGCCTATCTGACAGCGACACAGTCCTGCTGCTCTTGGGAGAGGACCCAAGTAAAATCCTTTCCTGCCATAGTGTGAGGTTGTGGCAGTATGCTGGGATAGGAATTGCACAGCTGGAACGTGCATATATAGAATCATAGAATGGTTTGGGTTGGAAGGGACCTCAAAGATCATATAGTTCCAACCCCCCTGCCATGGGCAGGGACACCTTCCACTACACCAGGATGCCCAAAGCCTCATCCAACCTGGCCTTCAACACTTCCAGGGATGGGGCAGCCACAACTTCTCTGGGCAACCTGTTCCAG